CGTGCCCGAGATTTTAAGGCCGCCATTTTGCATTTGGATCAAAAGGCTGTCAAGTGTACAAGCTGTCAATGGGTTTGTGCTAAGTTTGAGCTTTTAAAACCACAACAGTGACCCAAAATCTGCTCGACTAGCTTCAAAACACAGTTTTTCACAAAAGCTGTGGCTATTAATGGGTTAATTGTTTGCAATTGGGGTCTCAATAACGGTCCAGTAATCAGCCTCAGGGTAGATTTCCTTGCTTGAAATGTGCTGGCTACCCACTTGTGGCCCTTACATAAAAGTCCTTGCACTCCTAACTCTAATTTTCTCTAAAACTTGTTTAAGTAGAATGACTTTGAGGAGCAACAAAGCTATGCAGATTGAAAAAGATCTTAAAATGCAGTGATTAGTGCAACTGCAAAAGTCTCTCGGTGGTATAAGGCCATATTCCCTGCATGAGAACAAGATGCTCTCCATGCAGTCAAAATTATTACCTGTTTGCTATGTTAAACTACCCGTTTGTACCATCTTTTATTGACACACAATGTGTATAATAACCATGATTTTAAATTGTCACAGCATGCACTTAAAAAGAGGTAAAAAATGAAAGCAAAGCAAACCATACTGGTAATTCAAAGAGATGCAAACCTTCCCTGCATTCCCCTTTTAATTTAAGGCCATTAATACATGTAGATACTGATGTCCTTGACCAAGAGAGTTTGCAAAATTGTCCCTTACCTGTTGCCAAATCGCACCCATAAAGCTCAAATCTGAGGGCACAGGAGTTGGAGCAGTTTGTGGGGTATAATCTTATGTACTGTGCTACACGAGGTTTGAAAAGGACTGTTTTGATTTCATTATCATTTACATAGGCTTGAAACACCTGAAACAAAAGGTATATCAAAAAACAATGACTTCCTTATAATTGTCAAGTTACTTATTCTCTATGACAAAGATAAGCAGTTAATGAACCTTAATTGCCTAAAACCTCAATACCAGCTATGTACAGGTTTGTTAAATAATAAATATTACCCTTCCCTAACCAACACCACCCCCACCCTTCCCACCCCCTTTCCCCTACCAACCCGCTATAAATAGAAGAAACTCACCAGCCTACTACAAATGGAAGAAATCAAATAACCAGGTATGCATATATGTGTGCAGTTATGAAATGAATTCTATTCATTTTACCTTAACTTTTCC